ATGGTCCCTGCTTACCTTCCCTGCTGTGTTCCCTCTGTTATGCCCAAGGTCAGCCTGTATCTCACTCATGTCCTGGCAGATGCCTGTGTCTGCATTGTGAGAGCACACTGACAGACTGGAAACATGAGCCCTTCAGAGCAAAATATTCCTCTCAGCCCTTGGCACGTCCCGTATGGGTGTTGCCAAATGGTTCTTTTTTGCTTGGTGACTCCTCGAGTGTCAGTCATGCCACCTCATTTCCACAGTAGTGATATATTGAAAACTGTGAAAACATGAAATGAAATTTGCCTCCTATTGCCAAGGAAGGTCTGGGCTCTGTAGTGAATATAAAACACTTCCTGATCATGGCTTTAAAGGAGTCAGGTTTCTCCCCTATTTTAAATGAATCAGGGTTTCTCATAGAGGTGGGAATTTCAGTCAATAGCAGAAATAAGACATACCCTTCTTTTCACAGGAAATCTAAACCCTGTGTCAGCATCAATCCTATTTTTATCCACTAGCACCAGCTGCTGGATATTGGTGGAAACAGAAAAACTCGCAGAAATATGTAAACTGGTTAAAAAAGCAAATGGTAATACAGCAATGGAGCCACCACCTCCCTCCAGCTCCCACAGCTGGGCATCTCAGCCTTGAGTCTGTTGAACCCCCAGGTCCCAACATAACCAGGGAGTTATGCTGGGACCATTTTGGCAAGATGTCCAAGGCAGAAGGAAGAGAAGTTGGGCTGTGTTTCCCCAAAGGAACCCAGCCAGTGTCAGATGCACCCCTCTTCCCCTCTCATTCCCTGGTTATGCTTGGACATCAGGGTCTTGACTGGAGACCCCCACCTGTGCATTGCTCAGAGGGCACAGCCGTGCCAAGGAGTCTCCTGGGGCAGGGCATTTGGAAGCTTTCCCCAGCCCCGGAATGGGAGGGCAGTTGGCAGGCGGCCACCGCTGCGCATCCGCCGGGGCTGGGAACGGGAGGCTGCCGGCTCTGCAAAAGCCATTTGCAACCGCCCCGTTCTTTCGGGCACCCGAGAAACTTCCTCTGCTCTGCTCACATGGGGAAGGCTCTGCCTGGAGCCTGCCCTGCAGCCCTGGGACGTGCTGGCCACAGCAGCACGCCGAGGCTGTGCCTTATCCCGCTGCCTGGTCACAGCCCGGTTTGTTCCCCATCGCTGGGGACATCTGGGAGCGACCCCGAGGAGCGTGTTATCCACAGCACAGCAGCAGGTTTGCAGGCACAGTACTGCTGCACACCGGCAGAGAGGGGACATGGGACAGCCCCCATCCCCGGGGACCCTGCTGCCCTCAGCCGTGCGACACGAAGGGGAGGGGGGGTGGCTGTGGGGCGAGACAAAGCCCACACGTTTGAGGCAAGGCAGAAAACAGAGCCAAGCCCTGCATACCCACAGAAACCCTTTACTTTGCGTGTTTATTTTGAACTTGCCTGAGAAAGCGTGAACCTGTGGGCTGAGAGCTGCTCAAGTGCAGCACGTCAGTGCGAGCAGAGTCTGCCTGTGAGAAAAACTGACTCCTTGCAGTACTGAGCCTCCTGGATTTCCCCACTTGCAGTTATTTTATCCGTGTGAAAATGCTGGTACCAACCCTGCAGAAAACAACAAATCACTGTGCTCACCCAGATGGGGTTACCTCTGCTGAGAAGGGTACAGAGGGGAAACCCAAGGGGAGGGTTGTGTTGACCACAGGGTGCTGGTTGAGTGATGTACTCTGGGCTCCAACAGCCTGTAGCTGAGGCTGCACCAGGTGTTGGCACCTTTTCCTCTTCTCCTGCTCTTGAGAGTCGAAGGAGACCCTCCTGGGTGGGGAGACCTGCTGTGGCCAGACTCTATCCTGGGATCACCCTCCCCGAGGCACATCTGGCATGCAGGGGGATGTTACAGGGATGCTCCTTAGCCCCTGCTCAGCACCAGTGACAAACCCATTTAACCCTCCTGGTCCTGCCATGCTTCATCCTAGGGTATTTCTCCCTTCTCCAGCCTGGGGTGCAGGAGAGCTTGGCACAGCAGTGGCTGGGACCCAGCACTCACCAGGTGGCTTTCCAGTCCTCAACAGGACTGCTGGTTGCCTCTCGCCGGAGCCACAGGGCATGCAGGATCTCCTCCCCATTGCTGCCCACGTAGCACTGGCCCAGAAAGACGGTTGTCTGGGCTGTCTCTGAGTCTGGAAGGATTTGAAGCTGCATGAGTCAGGCACTGAGACACAAGGCCATCGCTCTGTGTCCTGCTGACATCCCTGCTGCCGGGTGACGGTCCCCTTCCCACCTACCTTGGAGCCGCCAGTGCACGGTGAAGGAGAAGATGGGCTGTGGGACTAGCCCCGCATCTTGCTGGGACCCCTCCAGTGGCAAGGTGAGGATTTCAGAGTCACCAGTGGCAGATCCCGGCAGGTAGGAACCAGAGAATCTGCCGTCCTCGCTGAGGGTGGACACGACCATCCGGCAGCCGGTGTCACTCTGCCATGACCCGGAGAGGAGGCACTGCAAGGACAGCATGAGGCTTGGGGTGCCTGGGCAGGCAGGGGACATCCTGCTCCCAGCCCACCACCCTAGCTCTTCCCAGGAATGCCTGCAGCACTGGGTGACATACCACAGACCCGGTGTGCCACTGGCATCGCCCCCTCAGTGTGAGTGCCACACCTTAGCACCGGCTGCCTTCAGCCCAGGCGCTGCTTGGTGTGGTTTGATGCAAAGAGAGCAGGTCCCTGTCATGCTAGATCAGCAGGTGCACCACTTTCCTTGCATGCTTGGTGGGAAAACAGGAATTCTCTAGGGTATGGCTCTGTTTGCCTGTTTCTGGAGGATTCCCACAGTGAGGGTCACCCCTGTAGGAGTGGTCCCTCTCTCCCAGCCTCACCACAGCTTCCCTCAGTGCTGCATAGTGCCGGTCCCGCCAGCTCCAGCAGCCCGGCCCTGGCTCCCTCTTGAGCTCTGCAGCCCCAGCAGCATCTTGGGGGTCTAGCAGGGTGCCAGCGCCCTGTCCCCACCATCACCCATCCCCATACCTTCCTCTCTGCAGGGGAAACAGGTGCTGCCAGGGCCAGGGTGAGGATCAGGGCAAAGGCACTGCTCTCCATGGCCACAGGGCCGCTGAGGGCCCGGCACAGCTCCCTCCAGCGCTGCAGCCCGGCCTCCTTTATAGGGCTGTAACTGGAGCCCCATCAGCACCAGGCTGGCAGCCGCGGGGTGAGTGGCCTGATGTCAGGCTGCCCGGGACAGGCAGGGAGGTGGGGAGGTCTGCATGACCTGGTCAGTGCTGGAGGAACGCGGGGATGAGCACGGTTTGCAGAGGGGTGGGTGCACAGGCGTTTCATGAGGCACTTATAGCAGCCTGGAAAAGGCCAATACCTTCCATGGGTATCCACCTCCTGTGCATGCAGGATGTAAATTGTCACCTGTTCAAACATTTACCCCCTTCCTGCTTTGCTGATGCCACTGCCAGAACAGGGTGTCACCCAGGTGGTGCCTGGCAGGGGCCAGCTGCAGCAGCTGGCAGCGCTGCACAGGAGGGAAGACTCACCTTGACTTCTGCTCTAGCAGCAATAACATTTCCCCAGCATATTCTGCATGTCAGCTGCTGATTACAATGCTTTTGCTTTTACTTTACTGGGAGTTAGAGGAAGGAGTAACCACAGTGAGATACTGAGGTATCTCACATCTAGTGTGTTTGCTTAATGCACACAGCATGATAACCAGCATTGTATTCACACCTTTTCCCTGTATTTGCTGTTCTAAAGGGCCTTGGATGTACAAAATGCAGCTTGCACTGCCCCTGTGTTCCTGAGCCATGTCTTTGCTCTCTGTGATGCCTGGAGCAGCCATGGGGCTGTAGGCAACTGAAAATTCAGGTGGGATTCAGCAGCATCACTCTGTGCTCTTTCCAGGTCAGCAGTATTTTAGGCACTGGATGGCAGCGGGGCTGCAGTGTGCATACGGGGGTGGGGGGGAGTCCCCCCAGTGGAGTGGCATCTCTCAGTGCCCACCATGAGCCCTGGTGCACCCTGGCACCCTGCTGCTGCTGCTCAGCACATCTCCCTCTCATCCAGATAGCCCCAGAGGCTAGGGAAAACACCTCTCTCCTAACACATCCCTCCTCCTTGTTGCCTTTTTCTGTCCCATACTCACGGGCTTATCACAGGGGCCTGAGAAATCACCCAGGCGTTCCCTTGCTCTTGCCCTGGATGCCACGTTCTATTCTGTTGGCCTGACACCAGTCCCTGCCTTTCTGCACTCTTTGGCAGGGACAAGCTGCCCTGTTAGGGGTGCCAGGGAAGTGGCAGGCACCCCTCTACGTCATGGCACCGTGCTCTGGCCTTGCTGGGGCTGAGCCAGGCTCAACAGAATACTGCTGTCAACCCCAGGGCTGGAATATTTTTGTAACGCTTCTGCAAGAGGTTTCCTCTTCACCCACGGATCTGCCAAAACCTTCATGTCGAAAAGAGCTGACTAACTTTGACAAGTGTCTGCAGAGGCAAATAGAGCAGCCCTGCCAAAATGCAGTGGCAGAGAAGGGTAAAATCCCTGGGTGTAACCCACAGGGATGGGATGGGATGGGATGGGATGGGATGGGATGGGATGGGATGGGGGCTTTAATTTGTGCACATTTTACATGGGGTGCCATATAGTACAAAGGAAGAACTGAACCAATATCTCACCTCTAGTGATACTCCGCATCACCCAACCCTACGGAGCACAGAGGTACTGGAAAGGGTCTGGTGGGGGTGGATATGAAGCAGTGCTTGGAAATCAGCTGGATTCAGGATGCTGCTGCCAGCTCTGCCACCATCAAGCAGGTAGGGAGTGATGACATAGGGTGGAAGTTTGGGTTAAATAAGATGGGAAATGAGCCCAAGAGGCCGGATGAGTGGGATCAGGGAGAGATGTGGATGTCCCTGGGGAAGGGCAATGGTGAGCCCTCACCTCAGCGGGGGTATCCATGGGAACAGAAAGGGTAGCAAAGGCAGATTTATAAAAAAGGCAACCACACTGGATGGTTTTTTAGTTTTATTTTCCTCTGAGAGGCAGGTTTTGCTTGCCTTGTTGGAGGGGCCAGGCTGCAGCCAGGTCATCCCATCATGGGGTTGGTGAAGACACATCCTCACAGGATGGGGACAAGCTGGGCAGGATCTTTCCTTTTGTGGTGCGTTTTCGTATGAAGACATTTCTGCCCACCCTGTGAGAAGTTGAGAGTTCCCCGTGGGATGACCCACAGACACTGCCCACTCAGAGCTGCCAGTGCCATTTAGGTGTCCCTAAATGCCCCCCAGCTTTCCTCAAGCAGCTGCCAGATGTCCCTGGGCAGGGCAAACCCTTTGCCAGGACACAGTGGCATCCCTGCTGCCAACTTGCACTGGGGGGCTCCCAGGGGTGGTCCCCTTGCTCAGAGGGCTGCTCATCCTCACGGGTCCTGGAGAGGGCCCCTCTGTGGGACTGCTGCCCCCCATGTCCCCACACTACCTCGTGGCTTTCCAGTCCTCCTTGAGGGACCCGACAGCTTCACGCAGCAGCCACATGGTGGTCAGTGTTTCCTTTCCACCCGAATCCACGAAGCACTGCCCCGCAAAGGCAGTGGTGGCATCTGGGAGGAAGAGTTTATTGGGACATCTATGGGGAAACCAGCTGCTTCCCCTTCCCCACTGTCTTCTCAGAGGCAGCTGTGTTCCCACTCTAATGGCCACACATCCACCAAACCCACGCAGTGGGGGAGGGGTTCCTGCCTTTCCCCTGTGACTCCCTCAGACAAGGCAAGATCTGCATCACCTAATGGGGTCTGAACCCACTGTGGGCACCCCGAGGTGTCCGGCTGGGACGGGGGTGAAGATGATGGGTGAGGAGAGGCTGCACTGTGCGAGCCCAGCATTGCCTCTTAGCCCCACACTGGGCAGGCACTGCTTAGCTGCGTCAAAACATCACTCAGCAGAATTCCTGGCAAAAGGGAATTCCTGCTAGCTGTCTACCTGGCTCTCAGTGACACTGCTGTACCATCTCCAGGTGTTCCAGTACTTACTAGAGAACTTGTCCCAGCGCACGGTGAAGGCAAAGGTGGGCCAGCCCCCCTCACCAGGCTGCTGCTGAATGCCCTTCAGGGGAGAGATGTGGGCACAGCCACCAGAGAGAGTGACCCGTGTGAGGTATTTTCCCTGGAAGTCCCCGTTGTCCCTCAGTGCTGAAATCTCCATCAGTGAGTCCTGCTCGTTCCTCCACAGCCCGATGAGCCGGCACTGAAGTGACAGAGTCACACCCTCTCAGTCCCCACACACGGCACAGAGGGGGACCCCATCCCTTCTGCTGCCCCAAAGCTGGAGCCACAAGCCCTGCTGCGGTTGCAGATGGCAGTGCATGGCTCTCCCTGACCTCGGTTTGAGGAAATGCTCCCCCAGGGGGCTCCTGGATGCTGAGTGAGTGGTGGAGCAAAGCCAGTATTTCTCAGCCTGCTGGCAAGCACGGTGTGCTCACACAGACCCTGTGAGAGGGAGTGCCCTGTCTGCTGTACCCCTGGGCACAGACCCCATGGGAGGGGTACCCAGGGCACGGTACACCCAGATACAGACCCTGTGGAAAGCAATTCCCTGTGCACTGTACCCCTGGGCACAGACCCTGTGGGAAGGGATGGTCCCATGCATGGTTCCCCAGGCACCTATCCTATGGGAGGGGATGTCCCGTGCATGGTGTCCTAGACACATATCCCATGAGAGAGGATGCTCCATGCATAGTGTCCTGGACACACAACCTGTGGGACAGGGTGCCCCATGCATGGTGCCCCAGGACAAATATCCTATGGGAGGGGTTGTCCTGTGCATGGTGCCCTAGACATGTATCCCATGAGAGAGGATGCTCCATACATGGTGGCCCAGACACAGACCCCACGGGAAGGGGAGGGAATGCCCTGTGGGAGTAAAGCTTCCTGGAGGCGATACCAAATGGCAGGGGATGACCCGGAGATACCCTGCCCACTGCCTGGACAAGGTGCTTGCAAAGCTCTCCTGCTTGTCCAAGCCTAAATTGGCACTCAAGAGAGAACCCCTGGCTGCCCAGGCTGTGTCCCAGAGCCACATCTGCCGCATTCCCATTGTCACCCCTGTCCATACCTTCCTCTCCGCAGGGGCAACGTGTGCTGCCACGGCCAGAGTGAGGACCAGGATGAAAGTGTCCCTCTCCATTGCTGTGGGGCTGTGAAGTGCCTGGTACAGCTTCCTCCGGTGCCCTGCATCCCAGTCCCCTTTATAGGGCTGTAACCAGAGCCCAGGCGGCAGCGGGCTGGCAGCCGCGGGCGAGTGGCCTGATGTCAGCATGCCCAGGCCAGGTAAGGAGAGAGGGGGAGGAGGTCTGCGTGACCTGGGGATGAGCACGACTGCTCAGAGAGGTGAGGACAGAGGGATGATTTACATATCCACTACCCAAGAGGATCTGCCAACCCGTTCCTTGCTCAGCGTTGGAGTCCTGGAAGCTGGCACGGCCTGACACTCCCCTGCTGCCACTGACCCAGTGCTGCCACCCCAACATCAGGCTGCAGCAAGCACAGTCTGACCAGCTCTGCTCCGCTGCACTGAAGGGCGGTGTGTCTGCCCACAGGGACACATCCCTGTGACCATCCCCTCCTGCATTATAAATGTCTGCTGCTGTTTCTAAGCTGTTTTTCCTCCTGGCCGCTCTGAACTTTCCCTGGGTCTGGGAGCTGTGACTGTGACTGCAGCAGGAACTGTTGAATGAATCCCCCTCCTAAGTGCAGAAGGGCTTTTCTGGAAGATACGTAGATGTTGAAATTTGCTTATCCCTGTGGGAGGGGATGCCCTGTGCATGGTGGCTCCACAGGCACCGTGGAAGGTGATGCCACATCCACGGTGCTCTGAGGCTGGGCAGGATCCTTCCTGTCTGAGCCCTCCCACAGGGCCCCTAATGGTACGAGACTGTGCTGGGGATGTGCAGGTGGCCGGGGGTGCTCAAAATGCCTGGCCTTTGCACAGGGACACAGTGCAGACACGTCCTCTAAGATATCACTCCAGACAGGTGAATGTGTCGCTGCCCATGCTGCAGGGGAAGAGAGAGGTGGCATCTGGCTGCATCCAGGTCAGGAGAGACTTCTGTGGCCCCTGTCCAGTACAGGGGATGAGATCTGCCTTCAGCATTCTTCTCATCTTTCCTGGGTTTAAAGACAGGAGGAAGGCTGCTCTCGTCCTCCTCCGGGAGCAGGATCTGGCAATACCTATATTCAAATTGTGCTTTGATTTTAATTTAAAAAGTATAGACCTGCCTTCAGCTCCCATCCCAGGGACTTTTTCCAAAAGTCCATGGGGTCCTGGCACCACTCTCCTCTTCTTGCTGCCCAGTTGGCTCCCAGCACTTGCCTTCAGGGCTTGGTGCTCCCCTGTTGTCTCCATGCAGCACCTGTGGGCACAACCCCAGCACAGAGTAGGGACAGAGAAGTGCCCTGTCACCCACCCACTGGCTTTCCAGTCATCCTCTGCCTGTCAGGCTCATCTTGCATGATTCATGTGCTGTTCAGTATTTCCTTTCTGTCCTCATCCATGAAGCATTGGCCCATGGAGGCAGTGATGGAGTTTACAGTTTGTGAAAGGGTGGGATGAGAGGGTGCTGGGATGGGGCTACCCCTCTTAGCAAACACCTTGCCTGTTTGTCAATGGGAAAAGGCTGCTTGTAGGTGGGTGATATTTCCCTCCTCAGCCTCCTGTCCTGCTGACACTGGGGGCATGGCATTGAACAGACATGGGATATGCAGGGCTGGTGGGATGAGCCCAGTTGAGGCTGCATCCAGCTCTGCCCCACCCTCATCCTCGGCAGGACCTGACAGAGGTGGGGACCAGGAGGTGCCACCAGCCACACAGATCCAGTGTTGGGGATGGGTGAGCCCTGGGGACACCACAATAAGGCAGGCGACCGTCAAGGACACCATAAGGAAGGGTAGGAAGTTCTAGGGACACTGTAGAGAGAGGGGAGGGCTTGTGACACCAAAGGGAAAGGCAGAGGATCAAATAGGATACTGCAGGGAAGTGCAGAAGAGCATCAGAGACATCACAGGAAGGGCAGGGAAACTCTCTGGACATCACAGTGGAGAGCAGGGGAGCTCTGGGGACACAAGACGAAGGCTGAGAAAGGAGAAACACCTGAAAAGCTCCAGTTAGCAGTGAAGCAGAAGGTGGGTTGGCCCTCCTGTTTTGTCTTGTATCGTCTGCATTGGTGACACCCAGACCTCATTTGTGGTGGCTGTCACAGCTGTGTGGTAGGAGCTGGTGAAGTTGCTGTTTCCATTCATGGCTGAGAGGGCTTGTTGGAGCCCAGGTCACTGACCCAGTGCCCAGTCAGGGTACACTGGAGCGGAGGGGACTCAGCACTGGTGCTGCAGCACAGCCTGGGTGTGGGCAGGGTGGCAGGAGTGAGTAACCCAATGAGCCATAGAGGGGAATCTGGACCAACTGCAGATTCCTCATCCACCCAAGGGGTTATGCTGCAAAGTAGGATGAGCTCAGCTGTGGGCTGGGTAGGCAGAACACATGTGGAAGGGTGCCCTGATTCTAAATGATCCCCAGGAAAAATTGAGAACATGGTCAAGGAGCTCCTCCATCTTCTCAGGATGACTGTCTGTGCTTGTCAAGGCTGCAGCTGGAACTGGGCCATGGAGAGAGGCGGAGAGAGCAGAGCATGACGTGCAGTCCTGAGCAGAGGACCATGCAGAAATGGTGGAGAGGATGGGAGCTATGTGTCCTTGAGTGACCTGGGAACTCTCTGCCTCCATCTGCTTAGGTGGCACAACAGCTGCACTGAGACAGATGTTGGTCAGCAAGATGTTCAGTGTTGAGACATTTGCAAACTGTCAACAGGAACAGCCCCTGCAGAAATGGTTGGGTAGGACAGTTTTCCGCATTGTGGTTAAGACATGTAAGTGCCGGAGGACTCCTGCAATGGTGACTCCTGCATTCTAACAGTGACTGTCTGTTTGAGGGATTTGTGCTGGGTTTGCAGACCAGCACTGTGAGCGGGTCTTCCAGCTGGGTAAAACCCAATGCTGATGGATACCTAATGCTCATAGAGAAGCATCCTTAACCTTAGCCACCCTCAGAAGCCTGCAGGTGCCACCTGACACACCATGTCTTATCACCTGCCACCGAGATGCTGGATCTTGCTGGTTGCCCTCATATAGGGACTGGCCTTGCAAACAGCTCTGCCAGCCCATGCCCATGGTATTTCTTAGCAGCACCTTGGCTGCCTGCAGGGGTTTGCAGGTTGCTCAAACTGTGGTCAGCACTGCTGCCTTGCTGGAGCACCCCAGGAATGCTGCACAACCTCTGGGCAGTCTTGCCCTGGGGAAATATTGGTATAAAAGCAGTAACAAAGTCAGGTGGATGCAGACTTAATGGAGTGTCCCACTGCTGAGCTGGCCCTGCTTTGGGGGGGGAGTAGAGTCTCATGGTCCCTGTGCCTCCCACTTTCCTAGCTCTCATTTTCCTCTAAAGCAAGTAAAAAGCTGTGCACATACATGCATAGCAGAGGGCTGGTGTAAAGTTGTTCTGGTCAGAAAGGCTGTAAGGGAACTGAAAAAGCTGGAGAAATGCCAGCGAAGCACTGAGAAGGGAACAGCAGCATCGCTCTAGAAGCAGAAGATGAACCCCAAGGGGAAAGATGTGAGAAGCAAACCACATGCAAGCCTGCAACAAGGCAGGCTAAAGCACAGAGCAGGTGGCAAACTTGTTAAAGCCACAGATGCTGTTAGCAAAGCTTTCCCACAGCATTTGTGGCAGGAAAGCCAGGGGAGCAGTGGGCGGTGGCAGCCCCAGCAGCTCAGTCCTATCCTTAGGCTCCTCAAATCCCAGGCAGTATGCCAGCTCAGGGCTTGCATCACTGTTCCAGGTTATTTTGAGAATCCACAACACAAGGACTAAGTTTCAGTTTCAGATCCAGAGCTGTTTCGTGGAAATAATTTTTTTGGCTGAAGGGGGTGTGCAAGGCAGCGCTGGCATGCACTGCCCGTTTTCGTAAGTCACATAGTCCATCAGGCAGAGATTTGGGGCTGGATTTGTAAGTCATCTGATTTCCAGTAAATCACACATTTCCCTAGGAAGAGTTTTAGGACAGGATGTACTAAAGCTACTGGCACTGTGATGCTGGTACAGAGCAGTCCTTGACACTGTCCAGGAGTATAGACACTGCCAAGAACCCTCACCTGCCTGCTCGAGGGCTGTCTCAGGCCCAGGAGTCTCCCAGGCATATCTTTGGGGTGCAGAAGTGCTCCCCAGCCTGCCCTCCCATTACACTCACGAGGCTTTGAGCAGAAAAGAGGGAGTGCTGGTCACACTTAGTGTCAGAGGGTCACTTTGGGGATGCACCATTCTGTTTAGGCTGGAAAAGGGGATTTCTAGGGGCCAGTCTCTTCCCAGAATAGGACAAAAAGAGTTTCATCTTGCACCCACCACAGTGTTTTAGCCCAGCTTTCCCGGGACATATCCACAAACTGCACAAGGTTTGGTTTAAATGAAAAATCTTTAATGTTATATGGTACTTTTTGAAATATTTTTCTCCAGAGCTGATGACATCGGGGGATGCTGGTACACACTGATCCTGCTGAGGGGCTCCTGGTCTGCCGAGCCTGATGAGAGTAAGACTTCTCCCTTCTTTCAGCTTGTCCGAATGAAGGTGTTGTGGCCTGTCCTGTGAGGAACCAGTAGCCCATTGGTGCCCAGCCAGCAGAGGGTAGGGAACCCAGATGGACTGGGTGTCCTTTGGCTCACCTGGTGGCTTTCCAGTCACTGGTCAGGGAGTCGACCTTCTCCCGCAGCAGCCAAGAGGTGTGCAGGACCTCGTTCCCATTGTCCCCAGAGAAGCACTGGCCCACGAAGACAGCTGTGGAATCTGGAGCAGTGGTGGCTTTTAGCACCCCAGCAGGACCCCAGCTGATTTTGGAGCTTCACAAGCACTAGTGGACTTAATGCTCATGGAGCCCGAGTGTATCTTGATAGTTGTAGGGAAACATCGCGTGGCAGAGATATTGCCAAAGCAACTCTTGGTGCCATCTCACCCAAATAGTGTTTCGGGATGTGTCCTGCTGTCTGCAGACACCATCCACAGTGGGGAGGGATCAGGAAAGGACAGACGGGGGACAGGAGAGAGAGTACAGCGATTGGGATGGGCATCGGGACATGCATGAGCTCCCCTCCTCATCCCACTACCCCACCCACAAGCAGCCATAGCTGCAGCTACAGACCTGAAAACTTCTTCCAGTTGACAGTGAAGCCGAAGGTGCACTGCCCATCCTTGTCCAGGTGCTGGGAGCCAACAAGGG